GCCTCTGGCATCCTTCTTCTTCTTGGGGGCCAGTTACCAAGGAGGGTGTGTTGGTGTGGGCAGCCTTTGAAGCCACCCAAGGGTGGTGATAATTGGTACCCGGTGAGTACCGAGTGAGGCTGGTACCCTCATGGCCGTCATTCTGGGCCTCAAGCGTGGGGTGGCTGGGAACTCCCAGAAAGGTAAGGCTTCATTCCTGGGATTCCTTCCTGGCAGGAGGCCTGGCTTGGTGGTTAAAAATAACTGCCTCCCACAGCTCCATAGCTTCCCCTTAGCATCACCCTGTGAAGTCGGCAGGGCTCAGCTCATTAGCTCCATTAGACAAGGAGGGAAACTGAGGGTTGGGGAGGTTTAGTGACTCGCCCCAGATACCCAGCTATGAGGTGGCAGCGTTGGGCCTCCTAGCCACACTCTCCCAGAGCTTCCCCCAGGGAGGTGCTCTCCTGGAGCCATCCCCCAGAGGCAGTGAGTAACAGCAGCAGAGGGAGATGCTTCCAAATGCTTCCTGAGCACTTGCTGCCTTTTCCTTGTGACCAGCTCCAGGCTCAATTTTGCAGGCCAAGGGTATTGAACTAAAATGAATGGTTTTGTTCTCATTGTATTTTTAGCATTGCCTTCTGTTTATGATAAATGACACTGTTTTAAATTCATGATAGTGACATAAGGTTTCCTTTAAAAGTTTAGAGTTTTGAAAAAGTGCATTAATTTAAAATACTAAGTAAATAATAGTTAGAGTGGTTCTTGGATGTGAACCATGACCTTCTCATGCAGGTGTTGGGCAAATGCTTCCCATCTGAAAGGACTCACAGTCTTGGGCCACGCAGGAGGCACATTGTGGACCAAAGCTGATGAACTTTGACAGCCAGCCTAGAAATCAGAATCCAGGTTTGAAAGCGTGGTCCTTACTTCTCCTTGCCACCGGCTTCCCTCAGGGATACAGATCCATGCAGACAAGCAGCTTCCTTTCCATTCCCTTCCATCCACCAGGGAGCCAGATCCCCGCCATGCCCATGTCCATGAGATGAGCTGGAGGCCCTCCTGCCACACAGTCTGTCACAAAGAGGACCAAGAAGGCTGCATGGACAGTGGAGGCACTGGGCAAGTCACGTCTGGGTGACATCTCTTTTCAGCCACTTTAATTGGTTATTTGGTACATGGAGAAAGAGGAATGAACCATGGGTTTCTGGAAGGCAAGGTCTTTGGAGAATGAAAAGGGCTGCTGCTTTCAGAAGGTCTGACACTGAGAAGGTTTCCTTGCCAGGGCTGGTGTCTAGTTGGGAACAGAGGTGGGGATAAGAGGGGAGGGGCCACCATGTACTGATGCCCCCTGTGTGCTGGGGATTGCCAGGCACTTGACCAACACAAACAGCCCAATAAGGTGGGCATATCCTCTTTTCCACATGAGGAAATTGGCCCAGAAAGATTGGGGGACTTGCCTGAGGTCACACAGGAAGGGGCAGAGTCAGAATTAGTCCAGACAGGCAAATTTCAGACCTTACACTGGCTGCCCCAGAGGAGGACAGTGGGGAGGCTGAACTGCAGAAGAGAGTCCCCTTTCACCATGTCCAGGACATCGCCCCACCAGCACCCATCAGATGTTGGACCACTTTCTCTCTTAAGCCAAATCCCAAAGGAGGCAGCTTCTAAACCACAGAGGTATCAAGCTGAGACATTGTGTCTTAAATAGAGCAAGTACCCAGCTGTCATTCTGAGGACAGAAACAAGCCAGCCAGCCACTCCCTTTGTCCAGCTCTGGGGAGTGGCCTGGAATGGCCTGTAATGAAAGGTTACAGTTTCAGGGGAAAAAAAAGTGCTAATGGTGAATGAATTGTCTGTCATGCTCTGATGATGTTAGAAGGTTGGGGAACCCACTGTCCTGGATTCTATAAGCTGTAGCTCTGGGATGCTTTTCAGCCTGGTTCTTGATGTCTTGGAGGAGAGGGATGGACCTAAGGTGCCAAGAGGAGTTAAGGCTTTGAGGTGAGACCCTGGAGCTTCAGACCTTGGCTGTGCTGTTTATGAGCTGTGTGGCCTTTCACTTACTTACTTAACCTCTCTGAGCCCCATCCGAAATGCTGGGATGATGGCCCTACTTGGCCCCACCTCCTAGGGTTGTTTTGAGGAATAAATGAGCTCAGACATGAGTTAAAGCAGTCAGTATAAGGTGAATGTAAAGTAAGTGTTTGATAAATGTCAGTTGTCATTTGATTTCCATTGGGGGTTTGCGAGGGTCACACTTGCAAGTAAAAGGAACAAGCCAAAGAGAGTGGCACACGTGAGAGTTGAGCCATGTCCCAGGATATCCTTCAGCCATGGATACAGAAAACACATCTCTGTCCTTAACTTGCTGTGTGACTTTGAGTAGGTCATTGCCCTCTCTGGGCCCCTCACTGTCAGATGTGGAGCGAGTAGGACCAACTTGGATCGGGGACTCCCAAACCTCATATGACACCATCAATGTTTTTTGCTGTATCTGTCTATTGCCTGAACTATTATTTACATAATTGTTTTCTCTAAATTGGCTCTTTCTTAGAGTGAAATAAATGTTTTGAAAAGAGAGGAACTTTATATTACTACCAGAAATGGAATCCTCGCATCACTTGCTATAAATAGAAGATGACCCTACAGATAAACACAATGGAAACAAAAGAGGGTTAGTCAATTCCAGCTGGAGCCCAGGCACCCGTTCAGTCTGGAGATTAGCTGGCATGGGAAGGGAGCTCCAGCTAGACCAGCACCTGTCTGGGATGCTGTTTGTAGTCACAAGGACCGGGAAAGGAATGAGGCCCTCGCTGGGTGATTCTGTGTCTCTAGCACCCCATCCACACGGGTCTGAGATGGGCTCAAGGATGCCCCCCAGGCCTCAGGTTGCTGCATTGAGTGAGCCCCCATGAGAGTGAAGCCGAATAAATAATTCTCCAGATTCCTGGGCACCAGGGGTCTCGAGCACCACTGCCAAACCCCCATTGGGAACTCCAAGGGTGGACTCCCAGCAGGATGAGACAGGAGCCCATGAATGCCCTCCCATCACCAGCCCTCCCCTCCCAAAAGCCCTTCCCCCTACCTGGAGTTCCTTTATACAGCTTTTTACCTGACGCAGATTCCGTTCGTTCCCTTGGCTTCTTCCCATCATTGGGCATATTACCTGGGGCTGAAATCGCTCCCTATATTGTGTGTCTCAAAGGCTGGGGCTGTACTGTACTCGTCGTGCTGTGCCTGGCACCCAGCTTAGGACCTGGCACAAAGGAGATGCAAGATTTTGGAGTGTTTAAAATCTCAAGTATGATAAAGCCCTGGAGTCAGAGCCAGGCTCTATCACTTCTGAGCTGAGCATCCTTAGGTTACCCTTCACCTGTAAATGTCTTCACCTGTAAAATGGTATCGGAATAGTATCTAACTCATGGGTTGTTAGGAGGATAGAATGACTTGACCTGCGTAATGCTCCATGTCAGGCTTGCTCTCTTGGGAGCGGACCCTAAGATGAGGACTCAAGTGCAAATCGTTTATTTGGGAGGTGATCCCGGGAACTAAAGGTGGGGTGTCGGGAGTGAGACAGGGAAGAAGACAAGGAGACCAGTAAGGGTGTGTCATCGAGTAGGTTACCACTGCATCCCTAGAGCTCAGTCCTGCCCAGGAACTCAGGGAGCCAGTGTGGATGGAGAATATGCCTGAGTCATCCCGGCTGCAGGTGAGGCAGCTAGGGTATTGATCCATCACCTTTCTGGCCATCACTGGTGAGGGCAGTTGAGGGAAGACATTAGCTCTGTCCACACTTACAGCCCAGGGGCCGAGCAGACTCTGGAGGCAAAGAGGCAGGCCTGCATGTGGACATGGAAGCCGCCAGGTGGTATGCTCAGAGGGTGAGTGGAGGGAGTGGGGCTCATGGCACATAGTAAGAGGTCAAGATGTGGTAGCTGCTCTGATTGTGGTTGTTCCCGTCCATGTTACTAGTCCAGTGCCAGCTCTGCATCTTGCAACTGTGCAACTTTAGGCAGGTCACTTGGCTTCTCTGAACCTAAGTGTCTTAGCCTATAAAATGGGGAGATGCACGGCTTTCAGTGGAAGCAGTTCTGCCCCCTTAGGTGGCCCTTAGAAGTGGGGTGGGGGGGCCAGTGTTAGTTGTCACGGTGACTGCGGGTGCTACTGGCATTTAGCAGTCAGGGGCCAGGGATGCTGCTAAACATGCTATGCCCAGAAGAACCCCCCTCATCCAAGAATTTTCCTGGCCCAATGTCAATAGTGCCCTGTTGAACAATACATGCTGCATGTTTAACGTGTAAGTTCTATTTGGTGCTTGATGAAGTTTGCGGAAAGAATAGTCTGAGCTGGCTCAAGACCAGAGCAGGACTTGCAGGGGCTGTAAGGAGGGTGGACATGGGAGTATGAGGTGCTGCAGAGACGCAGGTACCCAGCTGGACACAGAGAGAGGAGGGCATGGGAAATGAGGACCTGCTGAGGGACCAGGCCCAGGGATGCTGCTGTGTCCTGGGAAGAAGAGCCGAGTGGGGCTGCTGAGTAGCTTGGCTGTGGCCAGAGCTTTTCTGTAGGTTCCGAAGCATTTTCCGGGTGAGGTGGGAGGTGCTGCCAAGCCCTGCCCACCACCCAGAGCTTGCTTAACTTCCCTGGAGCCACAGGTCAGCCAGCAGACCCTGAGCAGGCTGCACTTCTAACCTGGGCACCAGTATCCCCTCTTTCCTCCCATAAACAGGACAGCCCTTCCTCTCCAATGTGAAATTGTACCAATTCTCCAGCCCAGGGTCTCTTAGAAATTAGACAAATTCATTAAAAGTTTTTAATAAACATTGTAAAAAAACATCTCCAGCTTGAGTCTGGGGCTTCTGGTCGCTCCCACAATTCGAGGGACGGAGGAAGATTTCTCTGCTCCCACTCCAAGACTCCTGAGGCCTGATGGGTTGGTCCATGTTCACCTCCCACCCCCCCCAAACTGGTGGCAGGGCAGTGCTTCTGAGATGGTAACTCGTCTTTTTCCTTCTTGTTAGGCCTGCTCCCTTCAAAAGCTTCGTGCCAACAGAGGGATGCCCGTTTGCACCCAGGAGTGTGGAAGGAGAGATGGGGACCAGTGCCGAGGTTGGGAAGGTATCTTCCCCCAAAGAATGGGAAAGGTGAGGGGCATCCGGAGACCTCTTCTGCCTGCAGCCTCACACAGACAGCCTGGCCATGGCTTATGACTTTTTGCAGTCGCGATGGATGTTTACAGGAACCCAGCCAGAGTTTGCCTCCCTGCACTTCACCCCCGACTGCATCTGCTTCCCACTCTTAACCTTCGGAGAGGACACTTCCAACCGTGCACACACGCAAAAGCGACTCCGTTTGATGCCAGTTGAGCCTTAAGCCCGGCTGGGTTTGGCCTGAGGCCGGTCTTAGATTTAGTGACTGTTTTTGGGCAGTGACTCAAAAGAAAGGAGCCGAGGAAGCATGCTGAGGGCCGAGGGTAGGTTTTTGACTTCATCATTTCAGGTTGTTCTTCATCAAGTTGGCAGAACCAAGACGTCATGCTAGGGGAGTGCCACGTTGCTCCTCTGGCCACAAATATATTTTTGAAAATGTGAGTAGTGTGTATACTTGATTTGGACATACCTGTAAACGCAATACTTAGGAGGCTGACTTCTTTTGATTAAAACATGTATGCAACTCCGACCCCTGGGGGCCCTGCCTTTTTTTTTTTTCTTTCAGATTCAAGAAAGAGGTGCTTTTATGGAACCTCATGGTTGACATAGGGCAGAAGAGTCAGGGCTTCCCAAGTTGGAGATCCAGCAGGGTTTGGAGACTCTACCCCAGCTGGGCTGGCCTGAGAGTTCCAGACTGGCCCCTTTCCGGCTTCCACAAGCCTGAACTGCTCGGGGCAGACTTTGGGGTGTGGTGGGGAAAGCCTGGTGGCCACGCTAGAAATCATGCCTAAACCCCAGAGAAGTGGAGGTGTGATCTCCCCGTGCCAGGATCACGGTAGACCTCTGTTAAAGAAGAGGGGAGGAAAGGAGGGAAAGAACCAATGAATGAGTGAAATTGGGTCCTTGCAGCTTCATGGAAAAATGGCAGGAATTCTCTCCAATCTGCAGAGCACTTGATGGTTTTCAAAGCACCCTTACATACACACCAGGTTAAGCAAGGCACAGAGAGAGGATTAGCCCCATTCTATAGATGAGGAGACTGAGTGGGGTGTAGTAAAGTTACAGCAGAACCTAGAGGAGAGACAGTGTAGCATCACTTGTCTTCATGTGACTCCTAAGGAAGGGGATGCGAAGAAATGCGAAAAGAAGGTATTTGAGAGACCCTGGGAAAAAGATGAATGTGGGAAGGGAGACGTTTGAGTTGGGAGAGAGGCTTGAGGGGAAAGGAGAGGGTTCAGAAGGTGCCTGTGCCCGCAGAGAGATCCTCCAAAGAAATTGGAAGTTGAATTGACATCTTGAGTCCTTTCTTTATAGGGTGTGACCTATAAATATCACATCTGTGACATGCGGACGGTGATTTACCCACCTGTTATGATGACTTCGTGTTAATCACAAAAAGGTGCCACTGTGGGCTGACGCAGCCCTATACCGGGACTCACAGCTTGGCAAGCAGAGCCCCGACTAGTTTGCAGCCCCTGTTATCTCCTTGTCACAGTGCCTTTGTGCAGTGCACAGACTGCCCAACCACACCTGGCGGCTCTGTCCAGAGAGTTTTTAAAATTTGCTAAAATGCAAGACTCGGGCCGGCCCGTGGCTCACTCGGGAGAGTGCGGTGCTGATAAAATGCAAGACTCACCATGACGGGAAACTTGAGCATCTTACTACAGTAACCACTGTGGTGTGTACTCAGTACATTTTTGTAGAATGAATAAAGCAAAGTTATGATGAGTATTATTTGCTCATTCCACATTTATTGAGCACCTACTAGGCACAGATGCCTTGCTGGGTGCAGAGGGCACAGCAATGAACAAAGCAAACATGTTCCCTGCCCTCCTGGAGTTCACATCCAAGGATAAGAGCAGACAACACATAAATAACTGTGAAAACGATAAAATAGTGATGAAGTTGGAGAGGAGGGGGTGGAGGGGTGTCTGTGTAATAGAGTGGCCAAGTGGACCTTCCTGAGGAGCTGTTCTCTAAACTGAGTCCTGAAGGATGAGAAGCAGTTGGCATTGTGAAAAGCTGGGAAGAACATTCCAGGCTGAGGCAAGAGTGGAATGCACGAATGTATGTAATAATGACACCTAACAAGCATTGAGCTGTGTGCCCGGTTCTTTTTCTCAACGTATTAGCTCACTAACTTCACATCGCCCTGTGAAGAAGGTACTGTGATTATGCCCATTTTACAGATGAGGAGACTGAAGGCACAGAGAGGTAACTCTCATGACTAAGTGCACTGAGCCCAGGCAGTCTCACTCCACAGCCTGTGCCACTGACCCCTACCAACCCTCAGGAGTAGGAAGAGCTTAGCACAGTGCCTGGCACATAGTAATCATAATTTCTGATATTTATTGAGCACTTACTATGTCCCTTGCACTGTGATAAGTGCTTTACATGTATCAACTCATTAAAAATTTAAAAACCATTACTACAAATAATTATGGTCCCGACCTCATTTCTTCATTTCCAAACAGACCAAAAGCAGCAGGTGCAGTAGTACCCACCTGGCTGACAGGTGCGGTAGATGCCCGGATAGGACAGTCATTCGCTGCTCACCCCTGTGGCTGCACAGATAGGAGTCCTGTGGGCTCCACAGTCTACAAATGGCAGGGACACCCTGGGGAGTGATGCCTGGGCTATTTACATCCCAAACCTGGGTGGTGACACCTGATGCCCTTTCTTTGCAACTGGGCCAGGGCAGAAGGAACCTGCCTCTCTGCAAGGATTGCCAACTGGGCAGCTGGGTCTGAATCCCTCCAACCTACTGACCCCCAACTCTCATTTGCTGAGAAGAGGAGCAGAGTCTGCAAACCAGGCTGATCCTGTGGATCTCAATGGATAGCTCCCACTGCCACCAGGAGAAAGCCAAGCTTTTCCACATCAGGGCTTTTGATGGAGCAGACCGTGCCCAAGGAAAAACAGCAGCCAAGCTGGCAGTTCTCTGGGTAGACAGCAGAGCTGCCAGGTCTCGGGGTCACTTCAGCCAAGGTAGGACTCCAACTTGGCTAAGAAATGCTCCCTGGATAAGGCGGCATGTCAGAGGCAGAGCAAAACATTCTCCTTTGTGCAGCTTATGGGGCTTCAACCTTTCTAATCCCCAAATAACGAATTTTCCACCAAATCAAGTCACAAAGAAAATTCATTCAGAAAAAAACAGGACCTGGGCCAAGGTGGACTCCACCAAGCACATGTGTGTGTGTGATGCACATGCACGTGCGCATGCATGTGGTGGTGGTGGGTGATGGAGAGGGACAGCCCCCTGTCACATTGGCCAAGACAATGCGGCAGAAGCCATGCTGTGAGACTTCTAAGTCTAGGGTATGAGAAGGATACAGCTTCTCTCTTACTGACTCTCTTTCTCTCCCCTCCTTCTCTCTCTCTCTCTCTCTCTCTCTCTCTCTCTCTCTCTCTCTCTCTCTCTCTCTGTCTTTGGGTGATCACGCCTCAACCCAGCCACTATGCTATGAGGAAGCCCAAATTAGCCCCCATGGTGAGGTCCCAAGCCAACTGTTCCTTAGAGGAACTGAGGGTCCCCAGCCCCTGGGCAGCAATGCCTGCCATACCTGTACGGAATGAGCCTTACGTGATCCCAGCCTGGCCATCCAGCTGCCCCAGCTGACACAGTGGGACAGAGATGAGCCCTGCCCAAATGACAGGTGGGTGTGCAGAATACATGTGCGTTGTCTTAAGCCACTACGTTTTGGGGGTGGCTCGTTACACGTTATATAACCAGAACAACGGGTACCCTAAAACGGTAATCATGGTATAAACTCAATCCCAGGCCCTGCCTGTGAGATTAAATAAGACATTTCTAATGTAGTGAAAAACACAGGAAACAAAGGCCATAGGGAGCTGCGGTTCCAGCCTGTCTCCCTCCCTGCCACTGCATTAGTGTACCGTGGCTGTTTCTCTGCTAAGATCAGTGTGTCTGGCCAGGCCTCACTTTGGCCTCAGCCAACAAAGTTAGTGAAAACAGTGAGTTGCACAGACAGAAAGCAGTTGCTGCAGAATCCCAGCCTGTCGTAGACTGGGGAATTAGCAAGCCAGGTATTGCCCACCAGTGTCTTGTCGGAGAACAGTGTGGACAAGTGCTTTCTCGCCAGGCTGGCGGGGGCCTGGGCAGTGGGAAACGTGGCTGCCTCCATTCCTCACTCTGGTCTGGCCTTGGCTGTCTGGAGTGTCCTGCAGGGAACACTTCAGGGCTCCCGGGAGGACTACAGCTGCCCTCGGACACCTGCCCGTCTGCAGGGCTCACAGTGGCTGGACAGGGCTGGCATCCATCTGGGCTCTGAAGCAGCCTGGAGCCAGGCGTGGATCTACCAGCAGAGCGAGACGTGGGTCTGTACATTCTGCAGCTGGGCATGGGCCAACCCTGAGCTAGCAGGGGCTGGTGCCAGCACGCTGAGGTTCATGGGATACAGCCAGGCACGCAGCTCCAGGTCCAGCATGGTCAGTGTCCTCAGAGAATGTGCTGTGGTGGGGAGATCACATGAGGGGGATAAGCAAGAAGCTTTAGGAAGGGCAGCCTTGATATGGGGGGAGAGTGTTGTCAAGATGGGGATGAGAGGGGCAGTGGGAATGCAGGAGAGATTGGAGGGTGACACAGGCTGGGGGAGGGAGAGGGCACGGGGTGAGCACAGGGTGGGGGGACAGTCATCTTCATAGCAAGAGGCAGGAAACTTGTAGAGCTAGTTCCTATGAGAATGAATCCAGGGGCATCGAAAACAGGCTGAAATAGCAGCAAAGAGGGCCCAGAAGTCCCTGAAGGAAGATCTTCCCCATGCTCAGGCTGTGGATGTGGGTGGCCAACCTACCCTGTCCTTTCCCCAGATCCTCAAGCCCCAAGTCCCCAAAGCCTGTAGGACACCTTCCAGCGAGCCCCGTGTGAGACAGGGGGAAGCCCCAGATGATGTCCCAGAGGCAGTCATCCAGCCCCACCTGATGCCTTTGCTCACTTCGTATGGATTCTGCCTTCACAAGGACACTGACTAAGGTGCCCCCATGGTTTTCCCCTGCTGAGCCCACCCCGGTTACCTCGTCCAGGGCACAGCTGGGATCATCTCAGGCTGATCCGTGAGTCCAGTTGCTGCAGGTGTTCCTGGACACCAAATGGGATGGTGGGTGTCCACATCCTGCAGGGGGGTAAGGGGGCACAGAGGCCAGATTAGAGGAGAGAGAGTGGCCTGGGGACTCCAACACAAGCTGTCTCCAAATCCCTCCTCCCACCCAGCCTTGAACCCTGGGGACTTCCCACCTGGCAGGATACAGATTGGTGTGGGGTTGTGGAGAAAATGGAAGCCTAGGAGCCTTGAGATCCCTTTTCTGGTTCTGCTGCTGACATGCTGTGTGACCTCAAAAGGTTAGATAACTGCTCTGTGCTTTATTCTCCTCATCTGTAAAATGGGTCTTATAAGACCCACCTTATCCATCTTAGAAGATACATGTGATCATGCAGATGAAAGTGCTTTGAAAGAGTTTAAAGTATCAGTATTGGCCATTAGATATGCAACATAATAAAAAATAAGCTTGAACCATATGAAATTGCCAATTTTATAGGGCAAAAATGGTTGAATGTAGGCAATTTCATATGGTTCACCCTAATATAGCACTTATCGAGCATTTTTGTGTGCCAGGTCCTATCCTAAGCACTTCATACATCTTGACTAATTTAAACCTCACAGAACCTCTTGGAGTAGATATTATTATCATCCCCATTTTACAAATGAAGAAACTGAGGCCAAAGGGTGAGTGCCTGATCGGCTAAGGTTGCACATTGGGGGAGGGGGAGGCAGGATTTGAGCTCCAAGGTCATACACTGAACCACACGACTGGAGGGCTGACAGCTCTCCACCCACCAGGGCTACAAGACTTACGCTAGCGTCTCCACATGCGGGCACTTCTTCAGGCTGGCAGCCAGCTGCTGTGCCCCAGCGGCTGTGAACTTGTTGTACTGGACACTGGGGAGAGAAACCCATCCTGGGGACTGGCCCTTGAGACCATCCAACTCCAGGCCAAGGTCAGTGCCATGTCCAGCCCTTCCCATGGTGCCAGTGGGAGGACCCCAGTCTCCCCAATCCCTGGGCCCAGCCACTCCCTGCCCAGACTCCCACACTCACTCCATCACCCGGAGGGACACCATGTCTGGAAGGACATGCGCCAGGCTCTCGGCTCCCACGTCGCAGATGCAGTTATTATACAAGCTGCCAGAAACAGAGGTCAGGGAAGGGCTTAGGGATGCTGGGGGTCAGGGCCCAGCAGGACCCAAACCCAACTGGGATTACCACCCCATTTTACAGAGGGGCAAACCGAGGCCCAGAGAGTTGAAGCCTCTTCTCTGTGGCACACGGTGAGTCCAGGGAAGCAGCAGGACTAAAGGGAAGCAGTTTCCTGGCTGAGAGTATGGAAACTCTCAGGAGGACGACTTCCCAAGTTCAAATCCCAGCTCTGCGTCTTACTGCCTGTGTGATCTTGGGCGAGTTACTTAACTCCTCTGAGACTCAGTTTGCTAATTCCCCAATCTACGACAAGCTTTGGGCATGATTGAGTAATTGTCGGAGGGGCAAAAGAGTTCATGCTGGTAAAACATTCAGAATGCGCCCCAGCCTCTGGAACGAAGTAAATGTAAACCATGGTTATGACTGCTTCACAGGAGCATTTGTGAGGGTTACACGAGCTACCATAGAGGTGTGACCAACATCGGGTGTAGGAAGAAAAACTGAGTCACGGGGCCAGCTTGGGTTTCTGTGGTGTGTTCACAGCCACCATTAGTCATGGTGAAGATAGCACTCCGGATGTCACTGGTGCCAGCTCATGCCATACACTCATCACCAAGCATCCTTTTGACAGGCCAGGTGCTGCTGCGCTTCTCATTTTGGGGCCATGTCTTTGTCATGACAGAGCCTCAGAGCTGCACTGCAGGGCTGCATATGAAAGCAGCGGGCCTACACTGCTGCAAAGTGGATTCAGGCTAAACTCCAGCATCTCCTAATATCACAGATTGGCTGATACGAGGGCAGGAACCAGGTGGGAGCTTTGCAATCACTTCCTGGGTGGGTTTTGAACCCAGGAGGCCCTTCCCCCACCCTACAGGCCAGAGTAATCTCACCAATTTCATTGATGCCAAGAGGCATATGTCCTCATTTGAATGTCGTTGAGATCAGGGTGTGTCATATAACCACCAGAGTGTCTTAGTTTAATTAGCAGCATTTTGTCCTGTTAATGGTGTCTCACAATGGATGGCATCTTAGATTCCATGAATTATGTTTCTTAAAGTGTAAATCAGATCATATATCACCTTCACATGCCCCACCTACTTCTCCATTCACACAAATGCCTCCCACTGACCTACAAGGGCCTCCGTGCGTGATCTGGACTCCACTGACCTCTCCCACCTCATCTCCCACCCTCTGTCCCTCTGTCAATACAGACAGTGGCCCTTCCGGCCCTCAAAAACCCAACCTCTTTCCCACGTCAGGACCTTTGCACCTGTTGTTCCTTCTTCCTGGAGTGCTTTTCCCCTAAGAGCTGCCCATGGAAGGGTCATCTCATCTGGTAACTGCCCTGGAGAATTTGATACTTCCTATTGTACTCTCTGGGACCTTGTTAGTTTCTTTCCCAGCATAAATCACTATCTAAAATATTTTATTTATGCGTGTGCTTACTTGCTTATTATGAAAGAAACTTGAAAGCAAGAACTGTATCTGTCTTGTTCATAGTTGTATCTGTAGTTCCTAGCACAGGTGCTGGCCATGGTTCACGTTAGAGAGTATTGAATGCTTGCACAACTTTGGGGGGCACCAACTGCATAGTCTAAGAGCTGTACAGTGTACAACCTGTATAGCTGCACACGGTGGTCCTGGCTGGAAGGATACATGAATTGATACATCAATAGACATGGACCAGACGCTGTCTTTTCTGGGAATCTGACTCTCGGCAAGTGAAGAGGGCTGGGGAAGGGGAGGAAAGTTCCTCTCAGCCTGGCAATGCTGAGTTGAGCAATGTGGGGCTCTGGTCCAAGCTCAGTCCCCTCATTAGTCTGGCATCGCACCAGGGGCTAGGGGGAAGTTGCCCCAAAACAGGAGGTGCTATGCCAAGACCTACCAGAAGGTGGCAGTGGAAGCCCTGACCAGTGTGTAAGTAACAAGGCTGGCCAAGGCTGCTTGTGTGTGGTTAGCCCTCCAGAAGCCACCACTCCTGGACGCCAGAAAAAGCTTGATCTTGCCATCCCTTGAGGGAAAAGGACCAATATTTATTGCACATCAGGTGCCGGCATCGTGCCAAGTGCTTTTCAAAGGCCATTGGGATGGTTTTATTTTCCAGATGAGGAAACAGAGGCTCGGCATGAGTGAGTGACTTGCCCAGAGTTTCTTTCCCTGGGTCCTGCTGATCCTCTGTGCAGGGCTGTGGTGATGCCCAACTTTAGGAAGCTGTGTTCATTTTGGATTCTAGGTGGATAGCCCCTCCTGGAGTCGTGCAATGCCAAAGCAGCATAACAGCCTGTAGCGATCATTTCTACGGTCCCAGTGTTGGATCTTGCAGCAGCATGAGGGGGCTCCCTACCCTCCCCCAGCCCTGCAGACTGGCTCCTGACCGATGACCGGGGCCCCACTCACCTCAACCTGACAAGAGACGCAGAGAGTGAGGGCAGGGCCTCAGCTAGCTTGCAGGCACCCATGTCGGTGATGCTGTTCTGAGAGAGACTGCAGGGACACAGTGAGGGGGAGGGCTCAGGACCAAACTCGTATGTCCCCTTCCCCATCAGCATCCATCCACCCACCCACCCCCACCTCCTGCCCCCGGGCTCTGGCACAGAAGGGAAACTCTCACTTCCTCACAGGGTGGCCTCTAGCAGCAAACATGTGACAATCACAATCAATCTGAGGAGCATGGTGGGTGATGAGCTGTGAATAGATTTACACTAACTCTTAATAAATAAAAGGATACTGTTAATTCCTGTGGCTGAGATGGATGTTGGGGGTAAGGATGTGGATGGGAGAGAGAGATCACTCTCCCTCCCCCACCTGTTTTAAAGAGGGGAAAAGTAACCCCTCTTTTCCCTGCAGATCACTTTTCAGCACTGTAATTAAATATGTGTTTGTGTTACTTATTGGATAGCTGTCCTTCCTGCCTGGCTGTGGGCTCCACAAGGACAGGAGCTGTGTCTATTCTCTTATTACTGTGTCCCTGTGCCTAGAGCAGTGCAGGCACATAGTAGGTGCTCAATAAATTCTCAAGTTGGGGTGAGGAGAGAGGAATAAAGGAGGGAAATCTAGCTCACAGTGTTACCTAGAACACTATAAATTACTGGAGAAGCCTCAGTGTCCTACAGTTAAGGAAATCGCTAAATGAATTCTGATGAATTTTTTAGCCATCCTAACCTTGGTTATGAGGTGGCGTGTGGACAGACTTTAATACCCTCTAGGTTCAGCAAAAAATCATGTTGATCCTCCTGCAACTTAACCATCTCCAACTTTCCAGAGCCCAGAACAGTTTAAAAAATTTATTGTTTTGATAAAAATGTTTTACTGATAAATTCTAATCTATCTCCCCTATTTTACCCCCCAGTAGAATTTTCTGCCACTGAACATTGTGTATTTTCATTACTATATACTTTAGAATAACAGATTTATTTATTTTTTTTGCTTGTTTATTGTGTCTCCTCACTAGAATTTAAGACCCCTGAGGTTAGGGCATTTGTTTATTTGTTTAAAGCTGGGTTTCCAGGGCCTAGAATGGTACCTACATGTAGGAGGTGCTCCTTAAATATGTGTTGATTAAATTAATACATAATTGGATGGATGAATAATTAAAGATCGGATGAGTGGCTGGATGAATGGGTGAGTGAATGAAGAAAGAAATGATGGAATGAGTGAATGAACAATTGAATGGAAGAATGAGTATTTGATCAAATGGGTGAATGATTGAGTGCATGAGTGAATGAAAGACTAAAAAAGCCAGCTGGGCTTTGGGGGCCAGATGCAGCAGGCAGGGCACGCCCAGCCCACTCACTTGAGCGTTTCCAGGGCCTTCAGTTGAGGGAAGGTGGCTGAGAGCTGCGAGACACCCTCATCCCCGATCTTGTTCTCACTCAGCGAGTCCAGGCTGCAGGGGGAATCAGATGGGAGCCATCAGCCCCATCATGCCCTGGCACCTGCCCCCCCCAGCCCCCAGCCCTCTGTATACACCGAAGGTAGACAGCCCACTCCTGAACTTTTGAGATCAGGTCTTCATCACCTGGGGGTGCCAATTGGCCGCCTAGAGGACAAGATCTAGCTCCTGGCATGCTAGAATCCTTGTTTTGCTTCTTAGGAGCCCCATGAGCTTGGGTAACTTCCTTTACCTCTTGGAACCGCAACAGTAAAGTGGGATCATCTCCCCTGCCCTTCCCCCCATCGACCCTGCCTCCCTGATGGAGTTTGCTGAGCACAGCACCTAAGACCATTTAGGGAAAAGAGTTTAAAAGGTCACAAAAGGCCCCAAAACTTTTTTTATTATTGGGGATTCCCATTTCCTGTTCCTTCCCTGTAGTGGAGTCATGCGGTCACTCACACTAGTCATGCCTAGGAAACAGGAGGGGAGAGAGACAGAAGGGGATAAAGAGAAGTTTCTTGCCTTTGCATGTGCCTCTGGGGCAGAGTTTGGGGTTTTCAAAACCTAAGGTTGAGGGGGAGGGTCCCGGGGTCTCTACTCACTCCAGATGCTGAAGGGAAGAAAAGGCTGTGAGGATCCTCACCAGTTTGGGAAAAGCTTGGGGTCCCACGGTGGGGCCCAACCTAGGAGACAAAGAGCAGGAATCAGACCCCGAAACAATCACAGCCCCTCGATTCAGCCCCGGTGTGGGGTGGAGACAGGACGCAGAAGCCAGGCCCCGTCTGAGGCCCCCTCCCACCTCCCAGCCTCCCCAGTCTCTTACCCCTCCCCAGCCCCACCAGGTGGGACCCCAATCCCTTCTGTTAAAGCAGATTTCACAAAGCTGGGCTCCCAGCTGGGGGCTCCCCAGCTTCCTTCTCTCCTCCTAGCCTGGTGAAGTAGTCCCCAGATGCCAGCTGAGGACCAACACCCGAGGTGAACTGAATGGTTTACTTAATTGTCTTTGCATTTTAATAACAAAAAGAATCATTTGTTGAGCACTTTTTCTGTGCCAGGCACATGCGCACACTGGGTCCTTCACTGCAGGATCTTACTTAATCCCAATGACTCTGAGTTAAGGGCCCTTCTTACACCCATTTCACAGATGTTGAAACTGAGGCACAGAGTGACTAAATAACTCACACAAGGTTGCATGGCCTTTATCCACATTTAGATCAGATTTCAAGGGAATGAGAAAAATAAGGATAACGAAGGGCTGTTCTCTTTTGTTTCAAAAATATGGTTAAAGGGCTGCCAGTTAGCTCAGTTGGTTAGAGTGTGGTGTTATAACACCAAGGGCAAAGGTTTAGATCCCCATACCGGTCAGTCCAAAAAAAAAAAAAAAAAAAAAAAAGTATATATATGTATGTATATATGGTTAAATATATTCAATGTAAAGAAATTTTTTATTCTGAAATACATCCTTTAAACTTTTTTGATGGCACCAGCAGTGGTTATTTTGTTGTTATTTGTATGAATGAACACACTTGATAAAAATTAAAAGATACCTGCGCATTCAAATTCCTTCTTAAATGGTCTCAGTCTCTGAAATCCCAAGGTATGGGAACCACTAGCCTCAGCAAAAGGCCACAGGATCAGAGCTGGACTCCAGGACCTGTCACTTAGTTCCTATACTAAGGGCCTTGGCAAATCCCTTTACTTCCGAGTCTCATTCTCCTCGAATAGTTAGCCCCAATCTATGAGGTTGCTGGAAGGATTATGGAATTCATCTTCAGTTATTTACTGCTTTCCTCTTATGTGCCAGGCCTGGGGGAGAAAGCTTCGAATGGAAAAGACAAAAATCCTTGCCTTCGTGGAGCTAACATTCCAGCGGGAAAGACAGATAATCAAAGAGATCTGGAGTCTGAGATCATGAGTGATATGGAAAAAAGTACAGTGGCAAGTAGGGGTAGAACTTCATTCTTAAATATGAGGGTCAGAAAAGGCTCCACTGAGTAAAGACCAGAAGAAAGAGGAGGCGTGGGGCATGCAGATATCTGGGGAAGAGCATTCCAGGCAGGGGGCACAGCCAGTGCAAAGGCTTAGAGGCTGGACCATGCTTAGTGTGGTTGAAAACCAGCCAGGTGGCCCATGTGGCTGGAGAGATAAGGGTGAAGAGGTAAGCAGGGACAAATCAGGGAAGGACAAATCAAGGAAGTATGAGTGGTGTCCCTGCAGGGTTATGAGCAGCCAAGTGGCTTAATTTGACAGGCAGATGAGGCCTACAGCACAGCGACTACCAAAGCAGACCCCCAAAACAGTCCTCTCCTTCCTCCTTCCTTCCTCAGAAACTTCTCAGGACTTCTGGCCTCCAGGTGGCTGGTCACCTAGCTCTAGTTTGTTCCACCCCATGGTGCTGTTCCCAGACCACAGTTCTGACCTTGAACTAGGGGCTTTTTAAACTAAAAATGATTCAGAGCCAGAAAGGGTCCTAGGTGACGGCTTTCACACATTTCCTCTTTTCAGCAACATTTTTACTTCCATACAAATGTGGCACCTTGTCTCTGCTCAAAACAATAGACGCTTGGCTTTTTCTGGGCCACAGTGTGGGGGTGGGGAGAAGCAGTGATGGGGAGCTGACAGCTTATGGGCGATCAGCAGGGGAACTGTGGGCAAGTCCCTTAATCTTGCTGGGCCTCAGTTTCCTCATTTGTAAAATGGGGAAGATAATGACCATCTCCCAGAGTAGCTCTTGAGATTAGTGAAATTATATATAATTATTAGGTGTCTAACAATTCCTTCCTAATTGTTAGATGATCCTAGACCCCTAACAAGGACCAAACACTAGATTAGCTTTTTCCTCGGTTGGAGCTTGGAGCCAGGCTGACCTGGTTTTTATGATTTTGGACAAACAATTTAAACTCTCTAGCCCTTAGTGTCTCCATCTATATAATGGGAAGATGATAACAATACTCTCAAAGGAAGATCACCTGAGATAATAGAGGCAAAAGTGCTTTGCAAATTGAAATGCTATGTTCTAACAGACAGATCTAAATATAATGATAATTATTGCTGCTCTCTCAGGGCCCCATGCCGGTGGGTGGCTCCCAGCCCTGGTGAACAACTTTTCCAGTCTGCCTGGGACTAAAGGGATTCCCAGGATGAGAGACTTGCAGGGCTAAAACCAGGACAGTCCTAGGCAAGCTGGGATGCTTGTTCACCCTAGGTGCACATCAAAAGCTTCCAGGGGGCTGGCCGGTTAGCTCAGTTGGTTAGAGTGTGGTGCTGATAACACCAAGGTCCAGGGTTTGATCCCGTACTGGCCAGCCACCAAAAAAGAGAAAAGCTCCTGGGAGTCCTTTAAACAGGAGCCTGGTCTGAATCACTGGGTTTGGGTGGGGTCTGAGCATGCAATGACTAAAACCATCAATGATTCTGATATGCAGGCAGCGCTGAGAACCAGTGCCTGGAGGTGGGGCAAACACCTGGGATTTAGAGGGTGGTATTGGCCAGGGCTGTTGCATTCCCCCTGGGGAGTCCACTCCTTGGCCACAGAAGTGAGCAAGTTCAGGCACAAGAGGTGCTCTACAGTCCCTGGCCACAGCTGGGAAAAGGACTCAAAAGGTGGTCATGGCAGCACCCTCCTGTGGAAGGTCATGGGCGGGGGGCACACTGGGTGAGTTACAATTCCTGCAAGGCCTTTCTCCTTCCCCTCTCTCCACTCCACAGGGCCTCCCCACTTGGCTTGTTTCTAATCCTTGGTCAACCTTCAATGCAGATATCACCTCCTCTAGGAAGTCCCCCTGACCTCCTAAAGAGAGGAGCTAACTAGACTGTAAGCGCATTGAGCACAGCAGCCTCAGTCCCTCAAGTTGGTGCTCGACAAGTCTGTTGATCAAATGAATGGGAATGTTACCCAGCAAATGGATCAATTAGCTTCAAATCTGAGAATCTCCAGCACTTTCCCAGATCAGCCACACTCCTGCTGCTGGAAGCTGGTTTCCAAAGTGGTGGGCAAGAAGGAAAGAACTATTCTGGGGACCCATCTCCAATGCTGCAGGCACAAGGCCAGCTAATGCTAGAGAAGAAAGCTTGTGAGGACCCAAGACAATACACCACTTTGCTTACGCAAACTCCAGTTTCTTTAGGTCTTGGACAGCAGGGAGTTCCCCAGCTGTGTCTTCTGAGGAACTTCTTATCCTGGAGAGAACAGGCTATGTTAGCAGGGAGCAGGCTCTTCTGTCTCTGAGCCCCCCTATTAGTTCCTTGATGCCCGCCCCAGTGCCCAAAATTCCCTGGGAGGATTGTCTTCCTTGATGCTGTTGTTGCCTCTGTTAAAGAGAAAAACCTCAGGACTGTGTGTTCCATGGAAAAGAACCTCAGAGTAGGCATGTAACAGCACCTATCCCAGGCAGTGCACAGTAGGTGCTCAAACAATGTGTGATGAAGGAATGCATGAAAGACAGTTAACTTGTGGTCAAATTCCTCTGCCCTCTGGATCTTGGCTCTGCCATCTATAACTTGGGGTCAATACAGGTCCTAAACGCCTCAAAGCATGGCGGTAGGTGTCCCGTCTGTCACTAAATGCAGAATGCATCCTCGTTAACTTCGAGCAGGGGAGAATTTCTTGTTGACTTTAGCTGAGAAACAATTCGGTACATGATGGCAAATTTTTGAATGGGGCAAAGTGTTAAATCCTGGGGGCTCTGCTTGAGTAGTAACGGCAATGAGAGATTCTGCGTAGCTGTTGGCCAGGGGGAGGGCATGGGGTGCCCCAAAGGACAGGAGGCCAATGACAAATTTGATAATAGGTTCTACATGTCCTCAACCTGCGTGGCCTCGACAACCTCCCATCCTCTCTCCCCCTTACCTCTGGGTCTGCACGAGGTTGCCCAAGTCTTCCACATCCTTCAGGGACTTGGCCTTGAAAGGCTCGATAGTGAACTTCTCCTCCACTGCCTGGAGTAGCTTGGTCTCCCCACGGTTCCGCAGGGACTCCCATAGCCCCACTGTGTCACTCAAGGCAGCCCTGTGGAGGAAGGGTCTCAGACCCAGGCACCATGACTGGGCTAGACCATAATGGAGGGGCAGCTCCACAAAGGGATCTCCTACCTATTCAGATACTTTCCTCCTTAGCTCAACCTCTATCTCCTCTAGGAAGCCTTCCATGACCATTCCAGCCCTTACTGAGTCCTCCTTTCTTGAAACTCAGAGTGGTTTTTGTTTCCCTTCTTGCTTTGGCTGCCAGGAAGCTCAGTGCTAAAGTCTTGGCACAATTGTGTAGGACCTTACAGCTTGGGGGAATTTGGGAGCAATTCTCTGAAGATGAAGCAGAATTGCTCAAGCAGATTGCAGGACTTAAATGGGCCAAATAAAGGAATTTAGACCTTATGCTGAAGATGATGGAATACCCCAGAAGGGTTATGAGCAGGAGTGGACTATGATCAGATTCAAGTTCTGGGAAGATTTCTCTGGTGGCTGAATATGAAGTGGAGTGGAAGAGGAGAGAATGGAGGCAGGGAGGCCCAGGTTTAATCTAAGCATGAGAAAACTATGGCTTGATCAGGGGATGGAGAGAAGAAAACAAATTTGAACTCAGGTCAGTCAGATTCTAGATATGGCCTGGTGCCTGGCACATATCAGGCCTTCAAATATTGGTTGGAAGAATGATGCTAACACTCACTAGCTGTGTGGCTTTGGGCAAGTGGCTACCCTTCTCTGAACCTCAGCATTCTCATCTTAAAACTAGGGGGACTCCATTCTGTGCATACTAAAAGAGGCTGCATAAAGTAAACACTGGACCTAGCACCAAGACCAGTTGGTCCCCAGCACAAGGGGGCCTTTCCCTTGCCTCCTGCCCCCACCTGAAACGGGTGACACAGCTGAGTCCCACGAGGCTCCCCAGTCCTGAGGGGTCAATGCCAGTACTGCGGAGGTCTAGGGAGAAGTCTCGGCCCGCCGCCTCCAAGGCCCTGCCCAGCACATGTGCATCGGGAGGTGTGAGCCGGGTGCCCAGGAAGGAGAGGCGGGCGGGGAGCTCCCGCACCACGTGCTGCCAAATCCCAGCCTCCTCTGCCTCGTGGGCGCAGTGCAGCAGCTCCAGCAGCCGCCCTGCCCGCAGTGTCCCCGGCTGCAGCCGCTTCAGGTACCTGGAGAGTACCTTCTGCTTCTTGTCCACCAAGGCAGCTGCCATTGGCCCAACCAGAGCTCCCAGGCAGCGGGCGTGGGGCTGGAAGATTAGTCCAGCCAGAAAGCGTGGCACTCCCTCCAGCCAGTTGTCATAGGGCCTCTTTTTCCTTGGGGTCAGTGCTAAATACTGCAGCAGCTCCTTGTCCTTGATTTCACTGCTCAGAGCCAGCCACACGGCCCCCAGGAAGCATTGCAGGAGGAAGCTGGAGAAGAACCACTCAGCCTCTGCGGCCCCTGCAATCCCCGGGGCAGGCTGTACTAAGCCTTTGGCCTCAGCCCACGTCCTCACCTCCACCGAGGGGAACTGGCCCTCCCGCAGGGTACTCTGGTGTCTGCGGCCCAGCTCCCAGGCCAGCTTGGCCAGCCCCACCAGGCCCTCCGGGGGGCCATCGCGGGTAGCCAGGCCTAGCAGGCCCACGTAGAGTCCCGTAAGTGTGGAGGGCAGTTCGGCCTCACCCCCCTGCTGCAGCAGGGCCACAGACAGCTGGCACACTGCCCGGCACAAAGTAGGGCTGTGGCCATGACTGAGGAGAAACGGCCGGTCCCGGAGGAGTTCCAGGGCTCTCTCTTGCTTCTCAGTTGCCTCCAAGCGCTTAAAGTGGTGCATCATGTATGTCTGGGCCTGCTCGGCTGAGAAGCCGGCCATCTCAAAGAGGGCATCAGCTTTGCTCAGGCTCTGGGCCAGGCGGCCCCAGGGCCGGGCCGTGAGGAGCAGGGTGCAGCCCCGCAGCACCTTCCGCTGGAAGAGGCCTGCCAGCAGCCCCCGGAGGGAGCAGGGTTCTGCGGATGCCGGTCCACACATGCTGTGCAGAAAGCCATCCTGGGCCTCCAGCTCCTCGAAGGCATCCAGGATGAGCAGAACACGGTCAGGCCACCTCAAGATGTGGCTGAAGACCTTGTCATCTGCCGCTAGTGGCTGCGGGCCCAGGGAGAAGAGCAGATCCTGTAGGCGGTAGGCATCCCCCGGGCGGTCCAAGCAGTGACAGGGGACGTAGAAGGCAAAGTCATACTGTGGAAGCTGGCCACAGGCCCAGGCTCTGCTCACTGCCCGGGCCCAGCAGCTCTTCCCCTGCCCAGCCTTGCCCAGCACAGCGATCACTTGTGTCTCTCGTGGCCGCCGGCGGTCATGAGCAGCCAGCAGCACCTCGGCCAGCCCCCCACGGGCCAGCTGCCGCTCTGCCCAGTCTGGGGTGGCCAGCTCCCTCTCCTGGCTCTTGTTGCTGATCCTCTGCAGCCGTGCTCTCACCAGATCCACCTCCACCAGGATGCCATCTGGGCCCGTGGGCTGGGCCCGGTACTTGTCCTGCAGCGAGCGATAGAACTGCTCCACCGTCTCTGCAAGGGCCGAGGGGTGTGTTGGGGAGGGGAACATGAGTGGTGGGACCTGCTGCCATCACCAGCTTCTTCATCCATTCATCACAGTCTGCACGGCTGCCTCATACAGCCACCCAGGCACTTAGTCATTCATTCATTCATTCACTCCCTCATCTTCTCGCTTGTTTATTTACCCACTCCTGTTAAGAATTCAGACAGGAGAGCCATGTGTCTGGGTTCAAATCCTAGTGTAATCTCGAGTGCATTACACACCCCACTACGCCTCAGTCTTCTCATCTATAAAATGAGGATAATGTTAGGGTTGCTTGGGACGTTAATGATTTAATGTATCTAGTGTGCTTAGAGCCTGGAAGTAGGCACTTGGTAATTTAGCCACTCTCTTATTTATTCTTTCATTCCCACCTTTTATCACTCCCAGACTCACTGACTTCTTCCTTCATGCACTCACTCAATCACCCACTGCCCCTTCTTTCATTCTCTCAACAGGTCCTCAGTAAATATCACTTGAGTGAATGGTGGAATGAATGCTGAGATGATGGCGTCATCAAGCAAGTGACTATGAATGAATGAATGCTGAGATTATGGCGTCATCAAGCAAGTGACTATGAATGAATGAATGAATGAGCCACAATGAGGGATTGCATGAGTGTTGAGTGAATGAATGAAGTGAAACCAGATTGGGGCTTCTGCCTCCAGCATCCAGGGCAGAAGGACCTGCCCCCACTCACCTGGCCATTTTGGAAGCTTGCTGGAGACCTCTTTAACTGCCCGGCATTGGGTGGGGGACATTTCATTCTCTGGAGATGGAGAAGCTGATGTCAGAGTTAGGGTGAGAGGCACCCCCCAGGGACATCCCTCAGGGACATCTCTCTCTCTCTGGGCCATGCAGTCCTCAGATCCTACCAAGGGCAGAGCCCACATGGGCTGAGCCTCCCAAGGTGGAGGTTATAAGATAGTGGCCCGAGGCTGTATCTGACTCAAAACGTCTTCCTTTGGTCAGATGAACTTTGAAAACTTTCACCCATGTTTTAAAAATCACAATATCCATGCTTCAGAAGACCTGGCCACGCTGGGCCTGCTTCCTGCTGGATAACAAGCAGCTGAGGGCTGGTAGCCCCATTTGGGTGGGATGTGGATTCTCCAGCTGTCCCCTCCCCACCAACCATGCTGTCCACTTCCTGGAGACGCTCCTTGCCCTGTTTTACCCATGAATGTGACCTGCCTTACCCTGCAGGCAGCTCTGTTCGTGGGCCTTGCCTGGGGCCATTCCTTGCCCCAGGGCCTCAATTCTGCTTCTAGTAGCTCTCACAGGCCCCAAGGGTCCTTACCTGTCACGTTTGCACGGGAGGTCAGGGCCGGTTCGGGCATGCTGGGCAGGTCAGCTGCTGATGGGGTAAAGGGGCTGGTAGAGCCGGGCCGGTCTGGGGACTTTGGGAGGCTGTGGACAGCTGAGCCGCTGGAAGGGGGGATTTGGCTGACCTGGGGCATCTTGCCTACATTGGGGGTGGACAGGGGTATAAGAACAACCAGGTTCCAGGAACCCACTTGGGCACCCCCACCCCAATCAGGCTATGGAGCTTGGGAAGTCCAGGTAGAGGAGAGGGGAATTTCCAAAGGAAAATATCCCAGGATCAAGCTGAGGAAAGAGCTCTGGAGTTACATTTAGCTCCTGGAGCCTTGGTTTCCCCATCTGTGAAATGGACACAATCAGCTCACATGGAGCTTAGGGCAAGTGCTACTATATCACTCTTCCCACTGTGTGGTCAGTACTCATTTTCCTGGATGTTAGGAACTGCTCCCTTCTTTCTATGGTGCCAGTGCATTATATGGAAACTGTCACACAACCATCAAAGGATGCTCTCAACTTGAATGGGAGCATCCCCTGGTTTTGTCCATGATAGCCCAAACATGCCTTCCCTGGGGCAATTCACAACCCCTCAGTGTGGCAGATTGGCAGACACCATTTAACTGATCAGGAAACAAATCAGAGAGAGCTGTGCAAGGATGCACACCAAACTGTTCATGTCGGTATACTGAAAGAATGAGGGAGACACTCCGTTAACACTTGTAAGCACCTCTTACTGTTTGGCTTGTTAATGAGCATGTATCAGTGTTGTACTTGAAAAATAAAACAATGTTTTTTTTTAAAAAAGAAGAAAAAACTGAGGGTCAGAGGGGAAAATGACATACAGATGGCCACACAGCCACTCTGTCACACACCCAGAACACTGCAGGGAACTCTGCTCCTCTGCTTTGATTTTTGGGAAATGGGGACAGAGAAAGGCATGCTGGGGAGGAAGGATTAAAAGAAGGTGCAGGGCCACAAGTGCCAGATGCCTGGGGTGCGTGGAGCATGGGGTCAGGGAATAGTCAGGTAGGAGGGAGAGGTGGTCAGGTGGCCAGGCCTCACACACTCACCGTGGTAGATGAATATACTGGAGACCTCTGTCCCAGCCCCTGAGATTTGCCAGATCCCCTGGGGCAGAGTGGGGAGAGTGGGGATGAACTGGATGCACCTAGCCGGCAGATTCAGGCAGCTCAGCGAGAAAGTGGAGGGAGGCACTGAGAGATACAAAGGCAGGGAGGTGAGATCTTCCATAGCAACTACATCTGTGATTCTGTTTGTGATTCTCTGATTAATGGTTGACCTCCTAAAGGGCTCTAATTTCCCTGAGAGCAGCAGCTGTGTCTGTCTTTCCCACGGTGGTGTCCCTAGCACCTGGCACAGAGTGGCTGTGTACAGAAGGTGCTCCATGAAGAGTTGGTGAATGAACAGGGCCGGTGGGTGAGTTTCTTAATGGGTAGAGGCTCTCTCCTAGGCCCCCCTGGGATGTTTCCCTCCAAGGCATGTTCTCTGGCAGGGACTGAGCCAATGGAGATCCTGAGGATGAAACTGGCTGGGATGGAGGTGGGTGCCACTGATGGCGGGGAGGTTCCTGTTCTTGGCAGTCCCTGCCTTACTGCCAACTCCTCAGCCACCTCCCAGGAGTCGGAAAGCCACCCTCTCCTGGCCCCCTAACATACCAGGCACTTGAATGGTTTCCTCCAGGCAGGTCTGGCCGGATGCTGGCTCCTGGCTGAACAGAGTAGGTGGTGGAGGGCAGGGGAGGACGGAGCAGTTGCTCGCTGGCCCCACCAGGAAACTGCCAGTTACCATGGGTGCAGCAGGGGGCTCGGCTGTGGGGAAGGGGGCTGGGTGAGAGGCTGGGGGCGATCTGGGCGCCTGGAGGGGCCTGCCTGAGGTGGGGAGGACTCTGGGAGTGGTGTGGTTCTCTCTCCTGACAGTTAAAGGAAACGCCTGTCCTCTTCTCAGCCCTGGCTGCAGCTGGGTTGATCAACAACTGCTCTGTGCCAGGCAGCACCCCCATGGCAGCTTTCTCCTTGTGACCAGGTCCCAAGAGCTTCCCTGAGCAGGACCCTTGAGGCCCCACACAGAGAGCAAGGGGCAGAACAGAACCCATGGATAGGCAGTTGGCTCCAGAACCCTCCCACCCTCCACAACCAGTCATTGAACCCCTTGGGGGACCTGAAGAAGCCCCAAGCACTCAGGCTCTGCCCAAAGAAGGGCAGGGGCTATACCGTGCACCTGTGTGCAAGCAGACTTGGGGCAGGGGTTTAATCTCCTTCACTTAATAGAGAGACAGAAGATGGGAGGGATTTGCCTCCCTCATCAGACTGGGACTCCCTGAGAACAGGGACCCCTTCATCCTGGGATCTTCATGGGCAGAGCTTCTGTCCCTCCCATCAGATTGGGAGTCTTGGAAAGTAAGACCCTGTCTGTCCCATCAGATCCAGAGCTCCCTGAGGACAGGGACTCCATCATCCTGGACAGGGTCTTCATGGGCAGGGCCCCTCTCTCCACCATCAGATTAGAACTTTCTGAAAGTGGGTCCTCCATCAGGCTTTTATTCCTCAGTCTGTTCTCCACACAGGGGCTGGTCTCTGTACCTTTGCAGTAACAACATGGGGGCAGGGGTGGAGAGGAAGGGAGGGGCGGAAGCATCTGGTGGGAGAAGCTTGGGGGAGGTGCTCACTGAGTCATGGGAGCTCTAAGGAGGGGGGGAGGGCAATGGGTGATTGGCTGATCCTCCAAGATTGCACGCTGAAAGAAGTGTGGCATGGAGGGGCAGTGAAACCAGGCAGGGGGGTGGGTCTCAGCTCTGACTCAGAGGAATGAAGAACGGGTGTTGGGGAGCTTTTAGGAGAAGCCAAACCTCCTGGCAGCCCTCAAGCTTCAGAGCATGCGTTAGAGAATCATGATCTTGGTTTGAATCTCACCTTCCCCTCTCACCAGCTGTTTGATCTTGGACAAGTGACTTCACCTCTCTGAGCCTCAGTTTTCAATGCTAGATTCTGTACACACCTGAGGAGACTCCAGCTTCCCTGCCTCGGAATATCTCTGGGCCCACCTTCTGTGCTCACCTAGCTTCCTGTGCTTCAGGTCCATGGGAAGCTCCTCTGGGAAAGCTGCAGAGAGAACACCATGGTCAGTTGCCCCAGGGAAGGGGTGTCCCAAGCCAAGAGGGGCTCATCGACCCCAGCAGCCATATGGCCTTGCCTTAAAGGGTGGGGAAGTGGTCTTGGGATCCTAGTCCCTTGTCTTCCTCTAACCATTCAGTCCCTTCTCCTTGGCTTGAGCCCAAACACCAGCTCGAAGCTCGGGCAGTGATTCAGTGAAAAAGGCAGAACCATAAAGGCGACATGACACAGGTTGTATCAAAGCAAAACAATCTGATTTTGAATCCCTTTCTAGCTGTATGTCTTTGCAACACAGCCTCTCCGAGCCTTTGATCTCTCATCTGTGAAATGGGGTTGGTGGCTCCCATGTCACTTCTGTATATTGGAAATCAGTGAGTGAGTATCAACACTTAGCGCATCAATGCATAAAAAACCCTTGTGTTCCTTAGTAAGGGGGGCTGATTAAACAAATTATGGTTCATCCACTCAATGAAACACTGTGCATCTAAAAAAGAATAGGCAAGCTGTAGCATACATAGGAAGTGTACTGCTGTCTGCAATTGACTTCGATGTGTACCAGAAACAAAATTATGGATGGGGGCTGGATAGAGGGATGGACAGATAGAGAGAGATATGATTAGGCAAATAGAGCCAAACATTAATTGCAGAATCTAAGTGGTGGATTTATGGGCGTGCACTGTGGCATTCCTTCACCTTTACTATGTTAAAAATATTCATACTAAAATGTTGGGGAAAATATTTATTAAATGAAAACAAAAAAGAAGAAGAAGAAAAAAAAAAGCCCCTGGAGATACGTCCATGTCTTCTCCATAAGTAATATGGAAATGACCTCCCAGACATGTTAAATGTAGAAATTGAAGTGCAGAACAGTGTAGATAAAATGTGGCCATTATATGGAAAAAAATTTTTTTTAAAGGATCTGGCTTACAGATGAATAGAATATTTTTTTTTTTTTTTGTCTTTTTGTCTTTTTCCGTGTCCGGCAACGGATCGCAACCCTCAGTGTTGCCCCCGTACTGGACCGGGGACCGGCAACGGGATCACAACCCTCGGTGTTGCTCCCGCGCCTCGCTCAGCCAGTGAGCGGGAACCGGTCTGTATGTGGGATCCGAACCCTCGGGTGGGAGCACCGCCGCGCCTCCCAAGCGGCGCACTTATCCAGTGCACCACCGGGCTGGCCCTGAATAGAATATTTTTGATGAGGCAAAAAGGAAGCTGCTAAGATAGGTTGCTTTCAGGAAGGGAAACTGAGGGACTAGGGTACAGGAGTAGGAGGGAGATTTTTTTCACTGAATATTCTTTGCGCTTTTTGAATTTTTATACCATGTTTCTGATTCACCTGCTCAAAAATAAATAAATTGGTACGGGCTTTCACATAGTCTGACACGTAGTAAGCACTCAATTAATGGTTATGCCCATTTTTTTTTTTTAAAGATGACCACCAAGGGGATCTTAACCCTTGACTTGGTGTTGTCAGCATCATTCTCTTTCAATTGAGCTAACCGGCCATCCCTATATAGAGATGTGAACCCATGGCCTTGGTGTTATCAGTACCACACTCTCCCAATTGAGCCACAGGCCAGCCCCCGGTTATGCCCATTTTACAGGTATTTTCATTCAACAGATATTTATCAAGGTGCTACTGCATACCAGGGCACTATGCTAAATGCTGGCAAAGCAGTGATGAGTGGGAAAGACAAGGTTCTTGTCTTCACAGAGGGAGAACTAGGCAAAAGGCAATAAAGAAAATAAGTCCCGACTGCCACAGTGCTAAGGTGCTAGGAAAGACACAAACAAAGTGAAAATAAATGGGCTAATCCATGTAGAAGGGTGGTCAGGGAAGGCTTCCAGGAAGAGGTGACATTTTAGCCAAGATCTAAAAGATTCAAAGGGGCCAGCCATGGGAAGAACTGGGGGAAGGGTGTTCCAGGTAGACAGAAGAGCAGGTGCAAAGGCCCTCAAGGCTGAAAAGGGCACATGGATTACAGGAGTGGAAAGAAGCCAGCGTGGCTGGAGCATGGTGGCTCATGGTGAGTTTGAGGAGGTGGGAAAGGCCAGATCATGCAGGCCTTGTGGTATGTATTTTGTGGGCATTGGAGGGTTAGCAGGGCAGTGAAATGATCTGGTTTAAAAACTCCCATTGACTGCCACCTGAGGACATTCTAAGGAGGCAGGGAGAATGGGAAGAGGCTCAGAGGTGTAGGTACTTGGCCAGGTCTCACAGACCATAAATAGCAGATCCAGGATTCAAACCCAGTTCTAACTGATGTCAGAACCTGCGCTTGAAGAGACCTCCCTCAAATACAGGAGTGACCACTAGGGATGAAAGAAAGCCAGAACTGGAAGGTCTTTTTGGTACTGGCAATCAAAACACTCAGGGACAGAAACCCACCAGAAGAGTGGCCCTTTACACCCGGGCCATCTGTTTCCTTGTTGGGTCATAGTGGGCAGTAGTGAGGAGAGAGGCACTGGGGGCCTCCAAACCCAGGTGAGACAGACAGGACTTAACCTGGAAAGCGACTGGGAGCCACAGCATGCTTTGGAGCTGAGGAAGGGCCAGGTCTCCAGCAAGGCTAGGTTGGGCCAGGGAGGGGCTCACTCACGTCTTTTCTGACTTTTCTGCCCCGCTTCCTCCAGCACCTCCACATGCTCGCCGATCACTTCCTCTGATCCTATGTGCTCAACTTTGGAGAAAAACAGAGACCTACTTGCACAATCAGTGGAGGCCCAAAGCAAGCCTCTGTCGTCTTACATTGGGAGAGGGGCCTGACCACCATCAAGGGGTGGTCATCAGGTACATGGGACTCCCCAAGCAACAAGGAAGGAAAGGCAGGCTGAGCCAGGACCCCTCCCCTCTTCCAACTTACTGAAAATGTCTTTGCTCAAGCCCTCCATCAGGGAATCCTGAAACACATACTGGTCCAGTTCCGCTGCCCAGACAAGGAAAAGCACAGTCAATCAACAAGGTCTCCCTGAAGGCCTACTGTGTACCAGGCCTTGGGCTAGGCACCAGGGAGCTGTGGACCTGGCACACAGTGGAGGCTCAATAAATGTTTGCTGAATGAATGAATGATCAAGTGAATGAATGAACATTGACCTTCATGGGCTGTTAATCTAATTGAAGAGGTGAGGTATGTATCCGTGAAAACTTACCTACCGCTATAAAGTAGTGCAAGGCAGAGAGGCAGAGTTGGCACAGGGTTCTTGTTCGAATTCCACCTCTACTCTCCACTAGCCCTGCCAGCTGTGCAACCTTGGTCCAGTTACTTAACCTCTCTGGGCCCCCATTTCCTTATCTGTGTAAAGAGAATAAATAACACCTGCAACCCAGGGATGGATGATGATTCAAGGCTCTGCACTTAAAGCATCCAACACAAAAGCCAGTACACAGTAGGCACTCAATAAATGGTGGTTAGTTATATGAACTGGTACATGGCTTGAGGACCATAAGAAGACAGTTATCATGGCAAGAGGTCAGAGGAAAGAGTGTGTACTAGAACGGGGCAATTAGGGAGGGCTTCCCAGAGGAAAGGATCTTGGAGCCAGGCCTTGAAAGATGGGGCAGAGTCTGAGAGGAGGAGAGTGGAGGGCTTTCTAGATCGTGGTGACAAAGTGAACAAAAGTTTTTAGGGTCTGAGAGAAATGTGACTGCGGTAGAAGTTTCATACTGGGGAAAGTTAGGACTTGATTCATAGGCAATGGGAGCCATGGAAAACTTCTAAACTGAGAAATAAAATAATGGCAATAATGATGATGCTGATAATGATGGTGGTGGTTGTGGGGTGGTGACTAACACCTACTGAGTGCTTAGTCTGTGCAAATTCCTTTTCTAAATACTTTGCACACAGTTACTTATCCAATCTTCCTAACCATCCCATGAGGCAGCTGTGATTATTATCCTACACATGGAAGTCAAGATAATATTTTAGGATGTGTCAAATGACTGCTTGCTCAGGCAAGGGCTTAGCCTGCTAGGAGCACAGTGAAAACCCACAGACTCGAGGAACAGGCTTTGGTGAAGCTGCCCCACCCCAATTGCCGAGGCAGCTTCCACTTCCTGTGTGGATACCATAAAGAAAAAAGCCCCCAAACGCTAAGTGATGCACAAATCCTTAATTATCCCTCCAGTTGTGAAGAAATGTGAATTTCCTCAGTCCCAAATACTTCTGCTTCCCTAAATAAATTCCCAGGAAGGGAAAGAAGCAGGCAGGCTTTAGGTTCTGTAATTTCTAACACACATATAATTACTGCTCCTCTCCATTTTCTGCTTTTGTGTGATGTTGGGTTAACTGTGCTCTGGGGGAAACCTGGCCACATTTGCACCTAACACAGACCTGCCAAGTGATGTGGTTCCTGGGTTGCCAGGAAAAGGGCCACTAAAGACATTTGTGCAGGTTGTTCAATGTACAAAGGTTCCCAGCCAAGATGGGCAGATGGGGGCCGGAATCCAGCCTGCTCTTTGCTAGCCAAGCTGTTACTTCCTGGTGGGGGCTGCATCCTCCAGAAGAAGGGCACACTTTTCTAATTGATAAAAGGCTCTGTATAAGGCAGGGTGATGCTGGTGGGGAGGAATCCTCTACCCCGCTTGCTCTCCCCCCCCAACCCCCCCCCCACCAGCAGCAACAGCAACACTTTTCCAAAGAATTCTGCTCTTATTGAAAGCTGTAGCTCTTTTTAAAGCTGCAGGCCAGCTTCTCAACCTAAGCCTTAGCAAACTTCCAAACCTCAGACACTTTCCTTTTTGTAGTCAAAATTAGGAACTTTGAAATGAGAAAGACCCAGGTTAGAATTTGACACCTGCCCACTGTCATCTCTAATGCAGCCTTAGGTAGGTTGCTTCACCTCTCAAAACCTCAACTTCCTCATCTGTAAAAGGGAGATACTAATAGTATGCACTTCCTTTGTTGTTGTGAGAATTCAAGGTGATAATGCATGTATGGCAATTAACATGCTGCGAATGGTAGGTATTACAGATACTAGAATAGTTTGGCTCAGGAGCTGGGGAGGAAGAGAGAAAGGGGTATATGGTATGGGCTTTGTGGGAAAGAAGAAAAGAAAAGCAAGAAACAGAAAAAAGTATACAAATAGAGGAAGAGGATGTAAATAAAAGTGAGATTTTGTTTGCCTGGTGCTCACTAGTGAAGGGTCTCCACTTCCCCTCTTTCCTGGAATTTCCATTCTTCCAGCCCTTGCTCTGCATCCCTTTTGCCATGATTTCAGAGGGAGGGGACTGCTATGGCTCATGGCAAATGGCTCAGCTGTCCTATTTCTGGGTTTAGGATGCTTCCTCACCGATACTGGCGTAAGCCTCCCTGGTCTCCTCATCATCTTCCATATCACACAACAGCCTGCTGAACTGGTCGCAGTTGATGGTGTCCGTGTCGGGCTCTGGGAGGAAAAGTCCCTTACATAAAGCAGGAAAGATCTGGGGAGAGGACTGGTGGGGAAAGAGAGGGAAGCGGGCAGGGCTAGGAGACAGCCCCTGTCAGGAGAGAGCATCATGCCCGGGTGGGCGCTATCCGTGGTGCTGACCGAGGCTACTTGACCAGTACTTCTTCCCCTGGGGTTGCTGGTCGTCTGACCGATGAGGGGTGGGGAGGGAAGGGGAGAGGCCAGAGGGAGGGAACTCACCTGAGCAGAGCTCGATCTCTTCTTCCCCAGCCAGGTCCATCTGGTCATAGAAGTGGTAGAGGTGCAAGGGGTCAGCATTGCTGTTGAGAAGCTCCAGGTACCCGCCTTCTAGAGGCCCCAATTCCATGGCAGCACGCTGTTCCCTTCCTGGAAGGGAAGACACACCTGGTGATTTCACGGGGTGTTGGAAAGAGAAAGAGAGTTAACACCTACAACATTTCCCTGCTGGGGAGCACGGGTGCCGGGGGAGACCAAAGGCAGAGGACATAGATGCTTGTTCAACACCTCTTATGTGCTCAGGACAGTGGGGAGAGAAAGCCAGGCTTCCTTCCTCCAGTCACACTAGGAAAATGTCCATGAGACAGAAAAGGGTATTGGGGAAGTGTGGATTCAAGCGATCTCACATTGGAGAGGCAGAAGATGTGGATTCCACATTTGGTGCTGCCAAATAAGAGCTAAGATTTATAGAATACCTACGGATTTTTTTATGCTTTTTTTTTTTTTTTTTTTTTGGTGACTGGCCAGTATGGGGATTTGAACTCTTGACCTTGGTGTTATAACACTGCACTCTAACCAACCAGCCCTAGGCTGGCATGTTTAATCCTCACATCAACAACCATGTAAGGCAGGTACTATTACTATCCTCATTTTATATGTGAGGAAACCAAGGCTCAGAGAGGTGAAGTTATTTCTGTAAGGAAACCCAGGTCTAAATGGAACCTGGATTTGAACCCAGGCAGTCTGACGTAAGGACCTGCATTTAACTGCAATGCTGTACTGCCTGGGTGACCTCGAGCAAGTCTCTGCTCCTCTCCATGCCTCAGTTTCATAATATGTAAATTGAAGGAGGCTGGGTAGATTCTCTCTAAGCTTCCCTCATCATCATTTGTTGAAAGATATATGAAGTACTTTAGACACTATCTCATTTGTTTTTTTGTCTTTTTTCGTGTCCGGCAACGGATCGCAACCCTCAGTGTCGTGCCCGTACCGGACCGGGACCGGCAACGGGATCGCAACCCTCGGTGTTGCGCCCGCACCTTGCTCAGCCAGTGAGTGGAATCCGGTCTGTACGTGGGATCCGAACCCTCGGCAGGAGCGCTGCCGCGCTCCCAAGCGGCGCACTGTAGCAGTGCGCCACTGGGCTAGCCCAGACACTATCTCATTTAATCTTTAAAACAACCCTAGACATGTCCACACAGAAACTTGCACGCAGATGTTCCTAGAAGCATAATTCATAATAGCCAAAACACAGAAGTGACCCGAATGGCCACCAACAGATGAATGGATAAACAAAAGCACTGATACATGCTACCACATGCATGAACCATGAAGACATTACACTAAGTGAAAGAAGCCAAACACAAAGGGCCACATATTGTATGATTCCATTTAAATGAAATATCCAGAACAGGCAAATCTGTAGAGATAGAAAGTAGATTAGTGGTTGCCTAGGGCTGGGGGAGGTTTTTTGGGGAAAGTGGGGAGCCACTGCTGATGAGTATGGGGTTTCTTTCGGGAGAGATGATGAAATGTTCTAAAATTGACTGTCAGGGTGGTTGCACACATCTGTGAATATTCCAAAAAGACCATTGAGTTGCACATGTGTGAATCATATGATATGTGAATTATATCTCCATTAAGCTATTAAAACAAAACAAATCCTGGAAGGTAGGCATTATTGTCTCCATTCTGCAGATGAGGAACTTGAGGCTCAGAGAGGTTGAGCAACTTCCTGAGATCATGCAGCTCTTGCTGGGGAAAGCCACTTTGGAGCCTCGTCTGTGTGGCTCCCCTGCCCTGTCCCCTGACTCAGGTGGTCTATGATTCCATGGTATGTTCATTTCCTAGGGCTGCTATAACAAAGCTCCACCAACCAGCTTAAAACAACAGAACTTTATTCTCTAGCAGCTCTGGAGGCCACAAGTTCAAAATCAAGGTGTCAACAGGACCACACTTCCTCTGGAGGCTCTGTGGGAGAATCTTTGCTTGCCTCTTCCAGCTCCTGGAAATTCTTGGTAATCCTTAACTTGTGGTCATGTGGCTGCATCACTCTCATCTCTGCCTCGATGGTCATGTTATCTCCTCTTTGCATCTCAAATCTCCTTCTGCCTATTTATCTTTTAAGGACACTTATCATTGGATTTAGGACTCACCTGGATAATCCAGGATGATCTTATTTTCAGGTCCTTAATTACATCTGCAAAGACTCTTTCTAAATCAGGTCACACAGACAGGATCCAGGGATTTGATATGAACATATCTTTTGGGGGACCACCATTCAACCCACCACTCATGGGATGCAGACAGAGGCTGGAAGGAATCAGAGCAAGCTTCATGGAGGAGGTGAGAGGAGACCTAGCCCTGAAGCCAGAAGATTCTCGTGACTGTCTCGTGCTGGGCCCAGATGAGAACAGAGCTGAAGCGGGGAAGGGTGGAGGGAGGGTAAGGTCATGAGAAAACACGCACCCAACTCACCACCACTTTCCAGAGACTCCTGTGCTTTCACTCATCAGTAACCCTCGCCACCTATAGGGGATCTCAGCACAGAGCCTGGATATCACAGAGAATGAACTTTCCAGTCCAACCTACAGTCCTGGCTGGGACCGCCTGTTTGTAATGAGTTGGGTGGGGGCCACAGAAACCCAAACATAACAGGGTTGCAGCCACGGCCCAGCCAGCCATGACTGGAGGAAGCAGAAGTGAAAGATGGGGCCACCACCCTTTTCTTGGAGTGGGGCCAAGGCTGGGAGGTTGGAGAGGAGGGTCACCTCTCCCAACACCTTGATCTGGGAGGCAGGAAGGAAATCTGCTGTTTTCTCCAGGGTGGTGAGAGAAGCCTCCGCGAACCCTGCCTGCTGTCTGCCTCCCATTCAACCTCTGTTATTTATTGAGAGCCTGCATTGCAAAGATCTGTCTCTTCTTTGAGGCAGTGAGATCTAGTGACAACAGCTCTGGACTGATCCCAGCAATTCCATGAATGAGTCATGTGACTCTGGGTGAGTTAGTGAAACTCACAGTTTTCTCACAGGGCCAGCATAAGACTCCCAATCCAGTGCTCTTTCCTTCTGATCAACTGTTTCCATTCAAATGAATACCCCTATCATATCGAGGCCCAGGAAAAGGGACCAGGTCCTATCACAGATGGGCAATGATGGGAGAGACAGTGGGGAAGAGCTTGCAAAAGTTTAGCCCAGCCTCACTCGTTGCTGGGCTCAGCTTCAAACTTTGGACAACGTCGCCAAATGTGGTTAAACACTCAGAGAAATACACCGCAAAAAAGGCAACTCGCATGAGCTTTGGCATCAAATTGCCTGACCCTGAGACCACCCGTACTGCGACTTAGGCAAGTTCATTTTTTAAACCACTTGGAGCCTCAGTTTCCTCACCTGTAAAATGCAACTAATAATAATTGGTAACTCATAAGGATTAGGTGGGTTAATTCACACAGAGCCCTTAGAAAGGTGATTGGCAACCAGTAAGCGCTCGATAATGGTAGCTTAGGGCAGAACCCAACACACACATGATGAGTACAGCAGGCCTGATGGCCATTATTATTACTAGTTTACTTCTTACCTCTGTGAGGTTGACAAAGGGAACCTTTCTCTTTTATTCCCTCCTGAGTCATCACTTTCTGAAGCCAAGCTTTCTGTTATTTTGCATAAGGAGACCACACAGACCCCATAAGCCCCCACAGCCAGCAGTGCAACTTGGAATGTCTGTGCCATTCCCCATCACCACCACTGAAAAGTCACTCAAGGGCCTGATTTCTACATCATTGGCTCAAGCTGGACCAGAAGATTCCACTCTCAGCAGCCCCCAATGCATACCTTAGCACCTCCCTAAGACAGAAGTCTGCACCTTAAGCACTTCCTCTTGGGTGACTGGGGTTTGCAGATCACAGTGGACTTCCACCTCCATCCCCACAACTGAGTTCCCAAAGAACTCTGGGGAGAAGTCAGGATGGAGTATTATGCCCATTTGACAGAGAAGGAGGCTTAAATGCCTCAGACTTGTCCAAGATCAAGTGGTCTGGGAGCTTGAGTTTAAACCTTGGCTGTGAAGTCTTAGGCAAGTCACTTAACCTCTCTGAGTATCAGTTGTCTCCTCATTAGATCTGGAGAATGAAGTCCACCCTACAGGACCATCAAAAGGCCCAAGCAGGGCTCTGTGTGGGGTGCCCAGCACACGGCAGGCCCACAGTCAAAGGAACCTTATTACGTTAGGGGTCATCAGAGCTGAAGCTCAGGCCTGAGACTATAATATCCCAGACTAGATCTCCCCACTATACCACAGCTGCCTCCCATTTATGCCATGATCTACTTGGATTTTGGCCTGGGACCTCCTGGTGTCCCCAGAGCCATGTTTCCTGAGTCTATAGACACTTAGCAGGCCCCTCAGTTGGATTCTTTTCCTCACCTGTAATTCTGGAGGGAGCTGGGGGCAGAGATGTTCCTGATCACCCCACTGCAGAGGAGACAGTCCCTTCAGCTGCCCCAGCACAGGGCAGATCACAAAAGTCAGAGTTCTGGGAAGGCAGGGACCTTGTCTGCCCAGCTCACCTACCTCCAGCTTCTAGCACTTTCCTGTACATGGCAGGCTCTCTCAATCCATAGCAAAGATGCATCACTAGGACTCATGGGTGCCCATGGAATACCAGGCATCAAACGATATGATCTACAGACATTATCTCATTTGGCTTAACTTACGCATTAGTTTTTGTATTTCTATTTTTCAGATGAAGAAACAGGCTCGGAGAAATGAGTTCTGGTTTGCGCAAACTAATCGTCTTGTAAGTTACCCAGCCTCTCTGAGCTGTAGAATCTACTGCATTGGTTGGCATAGTGTCTACCTCAGTGGGCTGCTGCAACTTGCCTAAAGTGACATATCCAGTAAGTGGTCCTAAGATGTAAGCCCCGAAATGAAAGCTGGGATTTGAACCAACTGCCTGATTCCAAAGCCTCAGCTTATTCTGCTGCCTTTCAGAATGGCTCTTGGCTCTTTGCCACCCTGGGGAGGTGCCCTCACCCCGGGAGGGAAGGCGTGGGTGGCAACAAGATTCCTCCTTTTGAGGAGCTGTCTGGCCTACAGCAGAGGAGTGGTCTGTGTCTTTTTGGTAAATGGGCAATA